CAACCTGCGCGCTGCTCGCAAGAGAGCCCAGCGGAAAGCTCGCCGAACGAACATTGCAGCTGACTGGCAGCACCACCGGAAGATTGACGCAAAATTTCACCGACATACGACACGACTTCAACGTAAGCAATAGAACCAGCTATGCGCCTCTTTCGGATCCCCAGGAGGCCTCACTAAAGCGTCGAAAATAGCCAGAGCACTCTCTGCGGGAAAACTGCCGACACACCCTACTGCTGGACTCGCCATTTCTCTACAGCTAACACTAGAGGCGACTGCAGAGCTCCTTGCCGACGAATTTTCTAGAAATATCCCGTCACCTGCGGAGTATCTTCCCTTCACCATCTCACCCCCGGATGGCCCTCCTATCTATTTTGACACGAATTTTACAGTTGACGAGCTGAAGACAGCCCTTGCGCAATGCACGCGCCGCAGTGCTCCAGGACCAGACGGTGTCACTTATCAAGCGCTACGCAACATCGACGAGTGTCATTACCCTAATCTTCTTCAGGTGCTCAATCACGTGTGGCAAACTTCAGAAATTCCCGATGCCTGGAAGCTCTCGCACGTGATACCAATACCCAAGTCTGGCAAACCGCTCACGTCACCCGAGTCGTATAGACCAATTTCACTGACCAGCTGCGTTGGAAAGCTTCTCGAAAGGCTAGTCCTCAGGCGCCTAACTTGGCATCTGGACGCAATAGAGGTTTTACCTGGTCAACTTTCCGGATTCAGACGACATCGCTGCACAGCGGATGCTATCTGCGATATTGGATCTGCACTGGAAGAGGCCCGCGCGACCCGCCAAGTGATGTACTGCGTGTTTTTGGACATACGCAAAGCATTTGATGCTTTACCCCATGACACAATTCTTCACCAACTCAGCAATTTTGAAATATCAGGCCGGGCTTATAAGTACATCCGTGCCTTTCTTCAAGACCGATCATTTGTTGTCAAGGTCCCCATTGCCACGAGTACCCCAAGAAATGTCACACAGGGAGTACCGCAAGGGAGTGGGATTAGCCCGTTTCTCTTTAACTTGGCGATGGCATCCCTTCCTGGAGTCATACCACAAACAGACAACCTTCTGAATTCGCGCGTCAATATTGCAATATATGCAGACGATGTGGCAATATGGGCGCTAGGAACCACAGATAAGACCAAACTCACCGGCCATACTTTGCAGGTAGCGCTTCAGCGGTGGCAGAAATTTCGCGCCTTGGACTGACCCTATCCGCACAAAAATCAACCCTGCTTTTCAGCCACCCTACCTATGCAAGACAGACTCATCGTGTCCTTATTGAAGGCACTGAAGTGAGAAGAGAGAAAACACACCTCTACCTTGGGCATCTTATTGATGAGACGGGGAGTTGGCGATTAGCAGTAAAACGACTTCTCATGCAGTGCCGGCAACTACTAGGCCTACTGAGAAAATTCCATGCCCACAGTCAGCAGGGCCTTCCTCCCAATGGGTTGCTCACCCTCTACAAAGGTCTTATAAAGTCGAAGTTTCTCTATTCGCTACCTCTAGCAAACATCCGCGGTCCACAGAGAGACCAGCTGGAAAGGTTTTACAGAGTTGCATTACGCCTCTGTTTGGGATTACCCTTCGACTCCCCGAATATACCTACTCTCGTAGAGGCAAGAGAACAACCGCTATTCCTCAAGGGAGAGGAGACCAGCAAAAGGCACCTAATTCGCATTCATGTAGCGCTATCGAGTGATTATCTTCTGATGAATCTCCACTCGAGGTCCTCGTCACATTTCGGCCGAATCGCTGCAGAGTTCACGAATGAGATCGGTGACCCTGGACCTCGGTTCCCCATCCGCCCACCCCACTCGACAGAACCACCTCTCAACGTGCAGGGATCACTCCCCGACGTCCGGGCAAGAAAAGACGTTCATCCAGTTGTCGCACGCACTGCTGTGGCAGTAGCACTTGAGGAGAAGTACGCCAGCAGCCTTGAAATATATACAGATGGTTGCGTAAATAAAAGCGCAGGTACGGCAACCGCCGCTTACGTGATTCCATCCATTGGGAAAGAATACGCCGTCCGTATAAACATTGAAACATCGTCCACGACTGCGGAAATGGTCGCTATACTCTTGGCCCTGGAATACCTTAGGACCACCGAGTGGATGACCGCTGTGGTAATATTAACGGACTCCCGCACGGCCCTGCGCAATTTAGCTAATGCCGGCGAGGGATCGCTGCTCGCTCAAGAAACAGCCCATCTTGCAACGACACTACAAGAACGCGGGTGGACATTTGCATTTTAGTGGGTCCCGGCGCACTCAGGAATTGTGGGTAATGAGCGCGCCGATACCCTAGCCAAGAACGCACACGCTCTGCCCTCACCTACTTACCATCTCCGACCCTTTCATGAAGCGAGACTTTTTATTGCCAGAAATATCAGGAGTCGGCACCCAGACCCATCTACAGCGCGAGGCACACCCCCCATCCCAGTCCATGATTCCAGACTGACAAGGGCAGACGCATCGCTACTCCATCGACTCCGGACAGGGGGTGCGTTTACGAGGCTAGCACTTCATCGCTACGGCCGAGCCGGCAGAGTTGACAGCCCGGAGTGCACAGTGTGTGGGGAGCCCGAGGACATCACCCATATACTCCTCATCTGCCCAGAATACGACGCAGCAAGGAAAATGCTCTTCGCCACTGTCCTAAAAGCGGGAGGACAAACGGCTACAACCACGTGTCTCCTTTTTCCCACTGGTAGCCGGCGGCAAGCATGGAGCATTTTCCGTGCCGTGCTAGAGTTTCTCCACCAGACAGAGCTTGCCGAGCGCCTGTGACCCCTGCATGTCTTCTCCTCACACTCCTATCGCGCCCGTCACCCACTCCCCTCCCCCTTTCCCCCTCTCCCCTCTCCCTTCCCAACCTTTAAATCCGCTTCGAACTTTGAACTTGTGGTTCCTCTTTAACACCCCATCCCACTTTTAATCCCTCATCCCTCTGTTCATGCGAGTCTTTTCCCCTATTAGGGTGAATAATAGTACGCATGGACATTTACCCCCTTTTCCCGTAACTCAACACTCCCCCCCCCCCCCCAATTGACGATTTGCAAAAAAGTTGCTGCGCATGCGCGAGCAGAGTGTGTTGTTGCCAGCGCCCCCTGCTCGGTTGGAAAACAAATGGGCGTGACGGCTATTCCTAGGCGGCAACAGGCGCGGAAGCGGGTTCGATTTGTTTGTCGCCATGCCAGCCCACTGTGTTGCGCTTGGTTGCACGAATTATTTCTACGGCAAAGAGAACACACCTCTCTTAATGGACGGCGCACACGTCGCTCGCACAAGACCGAGCTCCTTGTCTGCGGTGTCGAGGTTGAGCATGACGTTCTGAACGTATCCCTCTTCCTTGAACGCCCAAACACGATGTGCCTGACTGACTGTATGTATGACCGAGTTCAGGCAGCTCCAAACGCTATCACTTGAGATGCTACAGGGCGACACGTCCGACACCCACCCCGTGGCCCGAAACGGGAACGCGACACTGTCATCTTCCATCATTTCGAAGCACCGGCAAATGGAGAAGAGGAAGCACGGAGGACAGCTTGCGTGCACGAGCTCCAAGGCAAACCAAAACCATGCAGCACGAGTTGTTTTCCAACCACCTTCTAGCCTCGCACCCAAGTTTCCGGCGTTGCGCGATAGGTGGCGCGCACTTTTTTGCGAATCGTCAATTCCAGTCTTCTGTTCACAACCCACAACACTGCCATCATGATGTCGCTGACACGCAGAAATACAGAACCACGTTGAACCCCGGTTGGCACTCGGCACGGGACAACAGAACCGAACTCAGCACGGAAGGCACCCAGGCAGCTGGCAGGAAAACCTGTCTGCCTTGGACGCAATTCCTGCAATTTCCATAACGTCGAAAACGTCGAAACAGTTCCTTGTGGTTCCGCTGCTGTAGTTCCGCGTGTGTCCCGCAAATCGGAGACGGCCGTCTTACCCAGTGTATGTAGCGCTGCTGGCACTGCTCCGGAACTTCGCTGTTTCTAGCGGCTTCGTTGGCTCGTTTGGTAAAATTAGTGGTAAAAACGTCAATGCAACCGAAATGTTCTGCACGTTTGGACTAGAAGACGGAATTACAGGCGGCCTTCTTAGAGTGCACCCTCCAGTGTCCACCTACCGCCAGTAAAAGGAAATGGAACAGTGGCAGCGCCGCAGATGTGCGTGAGGTGACGAAGGCGACGCGATGCGTTGTCTTCGTCACCTCGAACAGCAGAACGGATGTCATGCTCATAATCGTCAAAGATGTCACCGATGTCAGAGAGCGCAAGATGATAAATGTGAGAACCGTGTTGGAGAAGATTGTGGCCGTGCCGGAGGCGACTTGAAGTAAGAGCCCGACCATGAAGACAGGTAAAAGAAAAACGAAAGAAGACGAAAATACAATTTGAGTTGAAAGTCAGCGCGACGTGAGTGACCGTTTTTCTGGTGTGAGTGTGAGTGTGAGTGTGAGGGTGAGTGAGTTTACTTTAGCGCTTCTCCTACAACATGAAGACAGGTTTGCGGCCAAGGCTGTCCCCGAAGCACCCGATCACGCTCCCGGCGTCGGCTCCTCCGCGGTATACGAGCGAATGGAGCAAAAGGAGCCGGTGTCTGTGGCAAACCAGGTCCCACTCGCTAGCGATGAACTTCCCCGAGGTCGCCAGGGGTGCTATGTTACGCTTTTTGCACTCCCAGGAGACTTGGAAGAAGGAAGTGACGTCAACGACTAGGGCAACCGCAGATTGGATGTTGACAGAAGAAAACAATATAATAATAATAATAATAATGATAATAATAATAATAATAATATCTTTATTCAACCCTGGAGGGTTGCGGCACCACAAAAAGGCCATTGGCCCATACCTGAGGCCTGTGGTGCCGCACTACTACATATTGTGAAAAAGAAACAAATAGATAAATAAATAAAAATAAAAATAAAATATAAAAATAAATAAATAAATAAATAAATAAATAAACACCATGGAAGATCACTGCTGAAGGAAGTCCGATGCCTCCTTGCACCAGGCTTTAAGGTCCTCCTTCTCCTGGGGTGGACAGTCGGTCAGCGTCTTTGGCAGCGAGCGCCAGAGGGTTACACACTTCACCAAGACAGAGTTCTGGTGACGCACAGTGCGACCGAACAGTGGTTGTAGCCCACCATATCTAGTAAGGCGCAAGCTTTTAACCAGCGGGAGCTCCTGATCTTTTGGGAGGAGGCTGTCAGCAAGGAGCCGGAGTGACGCAACCTGCCGGCGAAGTGCTAGGGGGTTCCACCCCACCATCCTCAGAAGTTCTTGCGTGGACAGGTCGCGGTAATGTGGCAGTCCAGGGGAAGCCTGGAACCGCAAGACTGTGTAGGCGGCACGCCGTTGCACACTCTCGAGGGACGCTTTCAGTGAATTCTGGTAAGGGTCCCAAACTGAGGCACAGTACTCGAGTTGTGGGAGCACTAGAGCAGTGTACAGGTCCCGCAATGCACTGGGGCCAGCTCCTCGGGTGACTCGACGCACAAATCCGAGCATCCGGCGGGCTTTTGAGGTAACCTCCCCAATGTGCGGCGAAAAGGTTAATTTTGAATCAACTGTCACACCAAGAAGTCTTGCACGGTTAGTGGGGGGAGTTCCTCTCCGTTCAGCTGGAAACTGTGCTGTCTGGTGTTATGGCTTCTTGATGTGGTAATGAGGGTTGATGAGCATTTGTTAATGTTCAGGGGGAGCTTGTTTGCCACAGACCAATCATGGATGGTGTTGAGGTCGTCCTGAAGTTGCTGATACTGGAAGGGGTTCTGTACTGGGTGCATAATTGTCAAATCATCTGCATACAAAAGGGATGTGCACTGCAGGGAAGACGTCACATCGTTGATAAAAATGCTGAACAAGGTCGGCCCAAGAATCAACATCCAATCTGCATTTGCTGCGTTGTTGACGTCACTTCCTTCTCCCTAGTCTCCTAGGAGTTCAAAACTTGCAACATAGCCCCCCTGGTCGTAGTCCCACTCATTGCAGAAGACCACGGTCCGGTTCTCCGTGGCATTTCCCGCGTCCAGTAGAGGCTCGTAGCGGGTGCATTTGCTGAACGTGCCGTCCGGTTCCACGGGGATACACTGGTTCTTCCAGACGACGGTCTGGATGGAAGGAAGCTCCGGTGGTGGTCTGCACCAGTGTTCCACGGGCCGTGCGAATACCACGGCGGCGAAACCGTTGCTTACTGCGATGAAGATGGAAAGCGTTGCGCACAGCAGTGCCAGCCGTTGGAAAGTGCAGTGTCCGAAAACAAGCGCTGTGTCCAATGGGGCAGTCGGGGCGCTGGCGGTGCGGTCTCGGGTCAGAAGAAAGGAGACCTTCATGTTGCGATGCGTCTGGGCTACGGTGTAGTCTGGGCAAAGCGTACAATCGAATAAGTAACACGCGATCTGAAACTGCTCGCGACGCTCGTTCCCTGGCATGCTTCTGGCGCTCGAGCTCTACTTCAGAGCCAGTTAGAGCCGCTACTATGGTGCCTGGATCGCGTCTTCGACTGGTGTGTTTAGCGTCCTATCTCGCCCATACATCAAAAGTGGTCCAGATGTGGCAACAAATGACGCGAGTGTCATGCTGTTGCCTGTCGCGATCCTGGCGGTTGGCCGTAGAAGTGCTAGCGAAAAGCACGAGCGAACGCGAGTGTCGCTGTCGTCATGGCGTCCCAACTCCGGCTGCTGTAGCTTCCGTGAACTGTCACAGTGGAAAGCGACCTGCAGCAGAACCGGCATCTGCTACATACACCACAACTGATGGGACACCGCCAGGGTCGCGACCGGCGACAGCATGACACTTTTATGACGTCATCAGGCGGAAATCGAAGGACCACTGTTTTGGCCACGGTAAACACACCAGTCGGAGACGCGTTCCAGGCACCATACCGCTACTATGTCGGTTGCAAGCTAAGAAAAAACCGGAAATGCCTCTCAGACGAAAATGTAATCCTACGCCGAGAAACGCCAGCCAATTGTTTTCATGACGTCACGATTCCGTGGACCAATCGCGATCCTTTTGAAAAAAAAAAAAAAAGCTCAACATGGCTGCTGGCCTTAGCAACGCGACGCTAGTTTCTCGTGACAATTATTCTGCTTTTTTGCACCGTGTTTTACGTGCCCGAGGTTACGCCACGAAAAGCAACCGGCTGACAGTTTTGCAGACCTCGTTGACTGTCAAGTCTGGCTCGGTATGTCGCGTCCGAACGTAAGCGTTCAGGATCAGCTCCCGCTGGCCGCTGTTCAAAACCCGACCTCGCTTGTGCTTCTTGAAGAACCACTTTGGTGTCACCGGTAAGGCTGCACCAGGCTGTTTCGTCCAAGAAGATTCAAGGGAATCGCTTTCCGATGTCACCTCAGTAAGATCCATGACGGAAGACTTAGGTCTGTTCGATTTGGCCAGAACGTTCTGAACTACCGGGTGAAACAAGGAGACGGTAAGCTCCTTAAATCGACCGGAAAATTCGGTTTCTTAACCTATCGCGCTACGACTTTGTGCAACGTCGCCCACAGATGGTGCATTTTTTTTTTTTTTTGTAAAATTTGCAAAGAGCGAACTTACCTGAGGAAAAAGTAAAGAAAGAAAAAGGCTTAGCTCCTATGGAAACGCAGCGACGCCACCGGTCTGCAATGGACCTTTTCCTAGGGTGCCTACATGTCTGTCTGTCTCAAAGCAAAAGCGCGCGTGTGTATGAAGGCACTCTAGCTCCTATGGAAACGCAGCGACGCCACCGGTCTGCAATGGACCTTTTCCAAATACCGACGGCACCAGGCGGTGGCTGCACGAACTAAAAATCAAGGAAGTGACCTACCTGCGCTACCATCGATAATGGGAGCTACGTTACCAGTTGCTTCGCTCTCTGAGCAGCGTCGCGTGCCCAACGCAACGAGGTAGGCCTAGCGCGACTTTAAAGAGGGAAATCCGTAGCGTCCACCCAAACGTCGTGTTTTTCTTTCCGTCCACTTTCTTTTTTTGTGCAACACAATTATATATATGCTGCAATCACGTGTTCTACTCGTCGATTTACAGCCTCATTCCGAAATTCCTCAATTTTTTCGTGCCGACTTCCACCGCTTGGCATCTGGCGCTCGCGCGTGCGCAGAACGCTTCTCGGAAAAGGTCCATCAACACGGCGCCGTTTTGCACGGTAGACAAGAGATGGCGCAACGAACGCCGCCAACGTAAAGCCCCTTGATAAAGGCTTTTTTTACAAGTACCGCCAACCATTGTTGTGGAAACGCGCGAGACACGTGCCGCGAGCGCGTGCTCCGCCGCCATTCGCTTCCAAGGGCCGCTCATTTCAGTGCTGCACCGCCATTTGCTTCCAAGGGCCGCTCGAGACATGGGCCTCGTGCGCTCGCGCATTTGACGCTACTTGCAAGACACGTCAACACATCGAGGGGCTTTACGCCAACGAATGAGCATACGGCGCCGAGAGCCAGCGTTTTTAGCAGACGATCTTTTCGAATCAAAAGCGGCGCGCATTCCGCAAACGGCGACAGTTGCAGAAACAAAAACAGGCATGGTAACAACAAGCAACTGCAGTTCCTTGTCTGCTAAAAACGCCGGTTCTCGGCGTCGTCTGCTCGTTCGTTGGCAGCAGTTGGCATCGCGACCGCTTGCGCCATCTCTTGTCTACCGTGCGAAACGGCGCCGTGTTGATTGCAGACCGGTGGCGTCGCTGCGTTTCCATAGGAGCTAAGCCTTTTTCTTTCTTTACTTTTTCCTCAGGTAAGTTCGCTCTTTGCAAATTTTACGAAAAAAATGCACCATCTGTGGGCAACGCTGCACAAAGTCGTAGCGCGATAGGCAACGTTACTAAAACACTCAGTCGGAAAACTCGCCGTCGAAACCTGGGCCGCTAGCGTCCACCGAGACCGAGCTAAATGCGACAACAGCGCCACTCTTTATCGTTTGTCTGTACTGTGGTCAGCTTGAGCTTTTAAAAAGCATGTTTTTGCGTAAAAACAAACGAAAAAGACTCTTTTTGTATGAAATTTATTGGAGTTTAGTACAAAAAGAGGGGCGCGTTATGTTTTTAAAATCTTTAGACTGCAGGGTTTTGCGGCACAATTAATATTGTTTTTATACAACCATGCCTCAGCGGGGCTTTCAGGTAGCGCGTCCCGACCTAGGTGCATTTTAACCTCGATAATTCGACGCGGCGCGTCCGCCGGGGAGACGGGGGTGGCACCCCTGTAACCTCTTCCGCTGTATCTGTTCTTAAAGCCAAAATAGCGGTAACGTGCAGTTCCTCGAGTGGCCGCTGCGGGAGAAATGGTGGCGTTGTGTTCGTCATTAGCTCGGTGCTCGGAGACAGATTGGGGCCACTTTTTCAAAGCTATCTCTATGGGAGTTTCCCAACTGAGTGTTTTAGTAACGTTGGCGATAGGTTAAGAAACCGAATTTTCCGGTCCATTGAAAGAGCCTACCGTCTCCTTGTTTCACCCGGTAGTTCTGGCCGAGTTCAGACGAGTGCAGGAGTCGTGCAGCGACGGCGCAGAACCAGTGCAGCCGCCGCGCTAGGACTGGCGCTGTGATCGGCTTTCCGAGCGGAAGCGCAGAGTGTCGTCTGCATCTGCTGGCTCTTGTTTCTAAACGCCAAGTTGTATGCTACATTTATTTGTTCGTAGGTTGATGAGACAATTCGTGTTTCCTTAGTTTTAAAGTATAATAACGAAACCTTATCTGTGATTATTTTTTTATTCGCGTGTACTAAAAACGTTTTCTGCACGAAATGTGTTTCTGTCTGCATTTTTAACGGCCGTTCGGTTCCTCTCATTTCCATAAGCGTTCGTGTCCTTCACATTCATTTAGCAATAGTAGAATCATTCCTAGTCTCTCGAGTCTCGTATTTTTACGATATTTTCGCGGCATCGGGATGGTTTTGCGTCAGCAGTCACTGGCGGCAGCGCGCGGTCGATAGCGGTCACCTCGAAGACAAAGGCCTGACGATAGCGTTTTGGCCAATACAATTATCGACCGTAACTTTGGCGTCAAGCTAAAGCGTTTATGCTGATTCTCAAGAAACAACTGCATGGAACTACCAAGCCAATGCCGATTCTCGGCGTCGTTTTTCCCAAGCACATTAATGGGCGTCCAAGGCATCCGAGGGCCAATGGACTAAATCCCAGATTTCTGCAATGTATCGGAGTCGTCAGTACGTATCTAAGAGCAACTGAAGGCGGGGACTATCAAGAGTGCAATACCTTTCCCGTGTCGCTAAGGAAGAATATCAACATTGTGCATCCCCACATAGCATCAAAATCAAACAATTTACGTCATCCAGTATTTCAGCGTTTACCACAGGGAGCCAAACCTACACGAGCAGGTGCCTAAAACGCTTTCAGAATGTCATAATCAATCAAATTCCTTATGATCTCAATTCCGCGTCCACCGCAGGTACGTTATTATCATAATTGGGAGGAACTGCAACGTCCGTATCGACGTTATTGTTAAACATCGCAGACATCTGAGCAAGAGTTGCGAAAAATGACACCGCGAGCAGTGACGGGCGAGGACTGTCGTCAGCCATCGCCGTCTGCTCTTGTCGTCTGCTTCTGCACGGACGCTGAACTGACTCTGGAGCCGGTGCAAGATTTTTGAGGAACTGGGCATATACCTTGAACTGGGTCTGAACCATAGAGTTATTATAATGTACGCTAGAGGTTCAACTGGCGCTAGTGTCTATGCGACTTCCGTGACGCAAATTGAAGCAGACAGCAACCAGTCTACTTTTGCGGTGCTCCTGTGCATTCCTATGGGAAAACGCGCGTGCATTTTGTCTCTTCGCCGGAAAATAACATGGAACACTTTGGTTATTTCGGTCGTACCGAATAGTATGTGTCTTAATTAACATTGCAAAAGTGTGATTGCTTTAGTTAGCGCATTTTTCTTCATCAGTTAGCGATGTTTAACTTCGCTGCATTTCAGTCCCAAACGTGTGTTCCGCAGCATGTGTGTAAAAACAAGCGACGATTCAAAGCAAAATTACGTTCGAAACGAATATAGAGTGTGTTCAAGGCTCGCCAGCATTCCGGTGACGCTTGTATATTGATAATATGCCAGTCCTGTCACCATATGAAAATGATCCCGTCGTGCATGAGCGGATAAAAACCTTCAACGTAGAGAATAAAGTCCGTGGGATATGAAAAGTGTCTCTTCGTATGGCTTTCTCTGCCGGGCAGCTTTTATCGCGCAAATGTTCTCAAAGATGTCTAGCGCGCGGGTGATATTTTGAACGTAGAACACGCAGCTTCGCTCAGGACAGAAAGAATAAAGCGGTACTCACTTGTTTAAAATCGGAATAGATTACGTGGCCTTCAATTTATTTTGATCGTACATGCACTGCGAGTTACTGGTCCGGTGTTGCTGCGTAGTTCTTGCCGCCGCTCTTGATTTTCCAGATGTCCTTCGTTCGTTTGGCATGTATATC